TATAATATAAAAATTATATATATAGAAGTAGCATTTACTGGGAATCGAGACACTCTGAAAACACACTATTATCAGATGCAAGCATGTAAATGAACACAGTGCAGCAGACTATATACTATAATTAAAAAATAAACTAAAGTTATATTGTAGCCCTATTTGTTTATTTTACAGTTACATTTGATTGAATTATTAGCTTGTCCTTTGCGAAAGCCTCATGTAACAGTGTCCTGAAGCTTTGATTGGTTGTCGTACCAGATTGAGGGCGGAGCTAGCGCTCTGATTGGCGGCGTGGGCCAGATCTTCAGCCAGCTGTGTGCGTTCTCTGAGGTTGGTGTTGGTTTGAGTGGCGCTGGTGGCGTTTACTGCTGCAGACCTGACCTCAGACAGAGAACTGAACCACAACAACAAACACATTCAGTCTCATTATCCATCAGATGCTGATGAGATATTTCGAGGGTCACGCACCTGTTAAGAGCTTGTGCCTGTTTGCTGAGAGCTTGCGCGTGATCCTCGGCTCTGTACACCAGCTGTAGGGCGTCTCTTTTGGTCATATCCATCACTAAAGCGTCCACGTGCTTCCTGAGAGACGGACTCCATCCTTCCAGATCATTCCTCGTCTCATCCAGAGTCTGGAGCCACACACAAACAAATGCATCTTAACACGGCAAAAACAGGCTTATCTTACTTAGTATTTGTGTCTTGTTTCTAGTTACTAGATAAGCAAAATGACATAAGATATTTAGTCTTGTTTCCAGGAAAAAAAAAAAAACTAAATTAAGTGCATTTTGCTTAAAAAAAAAAAAAAAAAAAAAAAAAAAAAGTTTTAATTTTAATGATGTAGAAACGTCACTTACAGCCGTGCCATTGCCAATGTCTTCAGCGATATTGAGGGCATCGGTCAGCAGGTCTTGAGCTTCCTGTACCTGCGTTTCTACTTCCTGGTTTAGACTGCTGACGTTGTTCCTTGAGACCTGGAAAATAATTTCTCATTTTAATGTTTCTGAAAGAGTCTGCTCAGCAGACTGCATTTATTTGATCAAAAATATAGGAAAAATGTGAAATATTTTTACGATTTAAAATAGCTGTTTTCAATGTGAATCTCTATTAAACTGTAATTTATTTCTGTGATGCGCAGCTGTATTTTCAGCATCATTACTCCAGTCTTCAGTGTCACATGATCTTCAGAAATCATTCTAATATGCTGATTATTAGAAACATTTCTGATTATTATCAATGTTGAACACAGTTGTGCTGCACAATATTTTTGTGGAAATACACTATATTTTTGACACTATAACTCAAAAGGTTGGGTTTAGTAAGATTAAAAATTAATATTATTCAGTAAATACGCATTAAATGGTTTAAAAGTGCCAGTAAAGACATTTCTAATGTTACAAAATGTTTCTATTTCAAATAAACGCTGTTCTTCTGGACTTTGTTCATCTGTGAATCCTGAAAAATCAAATGCATCACAGTTTCCACAGAAATATTGTGCAGCACAACTGTGTTCAACATTGATAATAATCAGAAATGTTTCTAATAATCAGCATATTAGAATGATTTCTGAAGATCATGTGACACTGAAGACTGGAGGAATGATGCTGAAATGATTTCTGAAGATCATGTGACACTGAAGACTGGAGGAATGATGCTGAAAATACAGCTGCGCATCACAGAAATAAATTACAGTTTAACTGATGTTCACATAGACAACAGCTGTTTGAAACTGTAATAATATTTCACATTTTGACTATTTTTGATGACATGAATCCTCTGATGAAGCCGTGACTCACTGTGAGCGTCTGTAGGTTGGTCTGGATGTCGTCGAGCAGGTGTCTGCTGTGGTTGTTGTGGCTCTCGGCTGTGTTTAGGGCCTCCTGGACCTGCAGGAGCCGCTGGCTGTGTGTGGTGAGGGTTGTGGAGATGTTCTCCTTTCTGAAGCGGTTGTGACTGAAGGGTTTTGACATCTCCTCCTGAACCTTCTCCAGCACAGACACTGCAGACCTGCTCACACACACACACACACAGACACAGACACAGACACACACACACACACACACACACACACACACACACAGCGGTAAACACAAACACACAGTCACACACATTTACATTTAGCAGATGCTTTTATCCAAAGAGACTTACAAATGAAGACAATAGAAGCAATTAAAATCAACAAAAGAGCAATGGTATGCAAGTGCTATGACAAGTCTCAGTTAGCTTAATGCAGTACACATAGCAAGGTTTCTATATATATATATATCTTCCATCTTTATTTGACCCTCTAACTCTAGCACTCTCTATTCTAATTCTATTCTTTAGAATTACACTAGCTTCTCTAATCTTTTTGTATTCTATCTATTTGTTTTCTTTTTACTTATTATACAATTAACAAAAGCAAAAAAG